CAGGTTAAAAATTAGAATTCATGGTTTTTCTTTTTGACTAAAAATTGAAATTCTGTTACTAATTTCAAATCAAATTTTGTATGTTATGAATATTGACTTTTTTTCAACCCCTTTTTTTTGGCCGGATGTAGACGTTTTTTTTTTTATTTGAAAACTAAGAAATTAAGGAATTGTTATGTCAATTCCAATTCAAACTTGAGCAGCACTAATGATTGAGTTTAGTCTCAAAACATGCGTCATTTTCACACATTTTATGCGTCATGCTTACTAAGTAAGTAATGTATCTTATGCTCCGCGTGGATTTAGCGATTACAAACTAACTTTATTAAAATTCTACATTATTTTGACTTCTTCTTCTTCTTTTTTTTGGAGAAAAACGCTCAATTTTTTTGGTATGGTAATGACCATTTGCAACAAATAAGACTTTGAGGGTAAATTTGTATTCATTAATTTAAAATAAAAATGTTTATAATATCAAATAATTACCTTGATCATTTGCCTAGAAAAAGCTTTTTACTATTCTAACTGAGTTAAAAAAAATTTTATGAAAAATTATTGAGTGTACCAAGTAGGACAGTTTAGATTTGTTTTGAGCGATGCAGGTTGCTCCTCGCAAATCCTGTCGTCGGGTACCTGCCGACACACCTTTTTCATTTTAATTTATATAAATTTATTTGTTTTAGTCGGCCGTAAGCGTTTGTAGTCCAACGGTTAGGATAATTGCCTTCCAAGCAATAGACCCGGGTTCGACTCCCGGCAAACGCATATATTTTTTTGCCCTGTTTTCCCTGCATCATTGCCTTGTTACTTGAACTATTAAGATCCAGAATTTTTTTAAAACTGATACTAGTCAGGAAAGAGGATTATGTACTCAGAACATGTAAGTAAATTGAAGAATTAGTTGTGGCAGTATACAGGTTTTATAATTTATACAACAGAAGAATCTATATTTCTCACAAAAAGAATTGATTCAGATGCTTGTACACATTCACGGCAACTGTCTGATTAAACTTCTGTTGAAGAGACAAGCATCATTGGCTTATGATGCTCCATGTATGCCTGCATGATTGCACGAGGGCAGGTTGAAATGACGGTGATGCTATACTGGCAAGCAGCAGTTCATCTCAGGATTAACAATTTTTGTGATTGGCTCAAAAGCAAGAGAAAATAAGTTCTTCTGAGCTACTACAGCTTGTCATAGTCTGCCGAGTGGAGATTCCAGGACGTGATCATCCAACAACCAGAGGCCAAATTCACGAAAACGCTTGATCTTCTTCTCAAAACCTGTGATATAATTATTATGGATTATGACATGTGTTCCCTTTGTTTCTTGCACCCAAGTCTGGTTCTTGAAGTACAATCCTCCAGTTGGAAATGCTGCCTGTGGTAGCAGGTAGAGGTCCACCTACAGGAATACCATGGACATGAAATCATTACTGTCAAACCACCACAGTTGATAATGATATAAAGACCTTTTTTCCAAGCTGTAAAGTGAATTGATGATAGAATTTTAAAGTGTGACACATTACATCTTGATCCACAGAAGAGATACTAATAACATGACAGAAATCAAAAGACATAATATTGCACACTGAATTTGAACATGCTATTGTCTCCATAGAGGGGTGCATGATGAACCAAGGAGTAAATGGAGGGGTGCATGATGAACAACAATGGATTACAAGTAATAAAACACTAAAACAGCAAAGGCAATAAAAGTGTGCAAATATACCTGTCCAGCAGTTTTGTTCAATGCCCAATTAAATGCAGGTTGATCATTTGCTTTCTTTGCTTTAGACCAAGGCTGGGCCTGAAGCTCCTCAATCCATTTCTTCATAACTAATTTTGCTCCATCTGTGGGACGGAGGAAAATCATGCAACTACATATGTAAGTGCGCCCTTTCTTCCCTGGTGGAGGCAAATCATGGGAGTGGTTCAAGGGCTTCACCTGGTGGACCAAATAAGAGGAGCATAAATAAAATTATTATTGTAAGCACACAATTGAAACAAACAGAGTCTGGAAGTAAAAGCAATCTGACAAGATCAACAACAACAATTAATACAAGATGCACACTGTAAAAGGCAAGAAAAAAGCTAAAAAGAAAAACAATATGACAAAGAGCACAGCCCCCGATCCCACAATGGGACACATAATTTGTGCGTTCTGTTTCTAGGTCAATCTTTCAATATTAACAAGCTTTAGCTCAGTATATATGGAACTATTTAAAAGATCTTAGAAGCCAAATGTCAACAACACGAGAGAGCACTAAGATATCCTAAATAGGCTGGAAATAAGGTTAGTTTCACCATGAATCTGCTCTTCCCCTTACCTCCTCTCCCTGTCCACCCCCACCCCACACCCTCGCAAAAATAATAGGTGTGGGGCAAGAAAAGATTGTCTAGTATGCATCAATACTGATAGAAGCTTTTAAGTTGCTGGGTAGTGTTCAAATCTGTACATTTTAAAGTAGAACTGGTTTATTTTGCCTAGGGAAATTTTCAGGACACATCCACCATCATATGTCATTTGTTATAATTTGTAAACATGAAAAAGCTGTGCTTAGTGCTTACAGCAAATAAATTTTTAGAAGCTAAAAGCAAAGCCAGAATACATACAACAGCCATGTCATCTGTGAAATACACTTCATGATTTCCTTCCAAATACGGAAAGGGATCTGCCAACCAGACCATATCAACATCATTATACATGACATTATACCCAAGCTCCAAAATGTGTAGCAAATGCTGAGGCCTTCGAGATGTGAAATTGAAGAACCCCTATGAAAAGAAAAACAAAAACACCAAAAATTCAATATTGCAATGATCAGTGAAAAATTCTGCAAACCAGTTTCTCCTTAAGTTTATGCACCAAGATTTTTACAAAATAGTAAGTATTTAGTGAATGGGCAAAGCCTAAGCAATAGAATTAGGCACTGTGATCACTTCAAAGACACAATGAAGTTCATTATATCAATTATAACTCACAGGGTAGAGCTTAAAAATCTTATCTAACCATGATATCATGACTGCAAGCTAACACAAACTTTTTCAGCAGCTATAAAGGGTTAAAAGTAAACTACTTTACCACTAAAACTAAAACACAATACCACATACATCGCATAGCAATTCCAATTGAGATGCTTTCCTTAAGCTAATTGACTATAGCATAAGAAAAACAGGAAATTAACCTGGGAACCAAACTTATGGGCAGTTTGCGAATCAGGTGCCGGCGGCACGAGCACGGCATGGCCTGGCCACTTCTCATTGACCTTGTAGAGAGTAGCATAATCCTCAGCTATCACGAGCACCTTGTCATGGTGCTTCTGTCTGGCAATACTAATTAACCAGTTATTAAGAAAGGGCAAGTACGGCTGGCTGACGGCGCAAACTATGACAGTCCCATTCTTGGCGACAAAGGAAACCGCTTCCGGCAGCGTGTAGTCCCGCCATTTGGAGAGGGAGGAGGCGGTGTTTTGGAACATGAACTGGGGCATTCCAGTCCAGGGGAGGAGCAACCCGAGAAACACCATGAGAGAGAGTAGAATGATGAGGCCTGATCGGCTGAAGATTGAAATGGGTCTCTGAGAAGATGACGAAAAGCGGGGAGATAGTGCATAAGGGTTCGAGAATGGATGGTGGGTGGGTCGCTTTTGCAAGAACGACGACATGGTTGGCATAACGAGGATTGAAAAGACTGAGAGAATGGATTCAAAGGCAGTCTGCAATTACAAAGAATTTGCAGAAAATTTTCGAGATCGGATCTGGGAAGGAGTATAGTGTGGCTTCTTTTGTTGTGAAGGCAAGAAGAACACGGGATGTGGTATGGGTCGGGTTTGTCGGTATAGAGTCCGATGTTTATGTACCCATTGCCACTGGGTACGTTTAATTGTTTATGCCCTGCATCAATCTCTTTTTCATTTTTCTTTCTTTAAAAAAAAGCAAAAGTGAACAGAACGTCTGCAGATCTAAAACGTTAGAATTGTTCAGAATAATTAAATAATTTAGTGATTATTTTCTTTTATAAAAAATTTTAAATTCGAGTCGCCGTAAAATGCGAACGAGGAAGAATAAGAAATAGAAAAATTATTACTGGCCCTTGTGTAACCAAAGAAAAAAAAAAAAATTGTCCAAGTGCAATTCGGGTGTAACTACGGCGGGGTAATTTAGTATTTTTCTTTTTTAATTTTCCTACATATTCAGTTAATTAACACTAGTTTAGTAAAATTATTTAAGTACCCTAAATTAATAAAAAAGTTAAATTTCATTTATATACAAAATTTATCCATTATATTTATTTTTTATTATATTTATTAAAAATAATAATTATTTTTAAAAAAAAAGATAAATCTTAATAATTAAGAATAAATAAATAAATTATCGAAATTTTGTGTAAAAGATATATAAATCTTGTATATCTCCTCTTAATAAAGTATCATAAACTGAAACATGTGAATGCAGGGAGAAAAAATGATACAGGTATCTGTCTTATCTGATTAGATGAAATATTCCCTTCTAATAATCTTAGGACAGTCACTGGAATAAAGGGAAATCATAGAACTGCCTCATCTAATCTAGTTTGGAAAGTGAATTTTTTTTTCTTTAAAATAAAAGAGTAAATAATGAAACCATACATATGCATTTAGTGAATACATCAACAATAGATAAGCATCACAGTGATAAACTTGGGATGATTTGCAATAGATGAATTATGCGATAATTGATCAAGACTCAAGAAGTAATCAGCATCCGCGAGCAAAGAATCTTTGCCCATATTTATTACAAGGTATTGTACGCCCAGATCTGCTCATTATTAAGAACTCGAATAAGAGGAACTGAGTAGAAAAGAATTGATCTTGACTTATGTGTGTACTGACACAGGGAATAGCTATTGAAGAACAGACATAGGAGGTAATTACAAGGACTCCATATGATTTACAGAGTGGCTAGTGCAACATTAGCTTGTATTGAAGAGGAAAGATGCATTGTTTTGTGTTTGTCAGGCCTTCAGCTTTGGTGTTTTTTGTTTCACAAAGAATGCTGATAGCACACTTTTGTTTCTAACAGGGGGATGCACATTCTCACGCCTTGGATTATCAAATGACCTGAAGGCTGTCATGGGTTTGGAACCCTCTAATTGATCCTGAAAAGTAAAATTTTTAAAATTTAAACACCCACCCATGGATGAAAACCAACTATCCTTACTAATCATTAACCATTTACTTTATAAAATGCAAGACAATATGTGTTCTTTTTAAATTTGACATTACCTTGTGCGTTACCCCAAAGGTTTGCATGAACACACTAGATGCAGGACCAGGTGTCACAGATGATATTGTCCTTAAACTATCATCATTTTCTGCAGGTTTGAAAGTTCAGAGTATAAGTTTGTCATCATCAGCAGAACCAGCTCTCTTTTTGATTAACAATATGAGTTACCATTTTAAGATACCTACCTAACAAGCAAAAGGCCTCTGAAGTTTTTCCAACGGCTGTGGGAGCATCGGTGCTGCACGGTAAGTAATGTCAATAACCGTTTTCCCTCAGAAAAACAAGAAAAAAATCCTTAAGAAAGCATAATCATCTATCATTGAAATGACAGCAAAACAATTTCACAAACTAACCTTACTACAACATTTGCAGCTCCTTTCAAAGTAGACTTACTTTCTGAGGCTAAATGCCACGAAAGAGGTTTCGTTGAAGTAACACCTATATATAAGATGTTTAACAAATAATGTAACTTTCACTTTCTGCCTATAATGAAGATGTGTCAAAAAAATACACAAGAAATAACTAAAAATTAAAGAATTCCAACCGATAAACCTCATACCTGAAGGTTGACAAGAAGTTCTACCCTGAGAATAAGTATGCCTAGCATCTGTCTGTACAACTGGACCAAAATGTACTTTCTTATTGGCAGAATCTAGTTTGCAAGGAAGCAGAGAGATAAGAAACAACGAAAGAGGAAGAGGAAACAGACCAGAAAAAATAGTTAAAAGAATTCTCATCCACTAATTAGCACCTCTAGAGAAAGACAAATAGCAAACAGTCTTACTTGGTAAAATGTAGTGCTTATGATGCCTCGGAATGACTGCCAACAAGACCTGCTGCCTCAGACCTTCTTTATCCGCAAATGTTCGGCATGTAAGAAGTTTCTAAATTAATAAACCAAGTTAAGTTCAGGCCAATAATTCAACAATGTTCTGTATTGGTATCTAGGATTGGAAAAGCACAATATGATACCTGATCTATACAAGAGACTTTTAACTCCATGGTGGAAACATCCATGGTTTGCTGTTCAAGAAGATCAGTCAGCTTGGAAGCCACAGTGCCAAGGTGATCCACAGCATTAACGAGGGCCCGTACAGCATAATCCTTCAAGTTGTCAAGTACCCTAATAATGATGCCAATAAGAACTTACTCTATGAGCAAAGAAATGACACATTGAAATTGGCATGGAGAACAGGTTAAAGAAACTCAATCATCATCTAAAGGGGAAAACCAAGTAACATGCTTTGCCTTACATCTGTTTCTGCTCACTATGAAGATACGATTTTTCACAGTATTCTGCAGCAGAATAAAGTTGAGGCCTTAAGTTCTTCATCTCCTGTAGAAACAGTGATGATTATGATAAAGGAAAGTTCATTCTTGATAGTGAGATGAATGCAATATTTCAAATTTTCAAGGCCGACTATCTTGTCTTCAACTATATACTTTACCAAATTCCTTTCAACATTCCCACGATAGAGTCAAGACGCGCATACTAGTTTAATGCTTTCTTCCAGGAACAAGGCGAGACCTTTCCTAATTCACCATTGATGAAATCATTCTAATATCTAAATTTTCTTCTCTTTCGATCGTCCATTCACAGTGAACTAAAAAGAGAGAGCCAAACTCTTTTCATTTCCAATTCAATTTTTCTCATTAACCAAACAGCCCTAACAGCAAACTAGAAATCAAAATCGAATTTTTTTTAGAAAACATAAACGCCTCTCCATGACACCAATAGAATGAAATCAATAAAATTTCCAACTCACACCAGATCTGGCCTCATAATCAACACAAATTTGTACAAAAAGAAATGAAAAGACAATACAGAAACCGAACCTGCAAGGCCCTGACGAAGCTCTTGCTCCGCTCCATGGAAGCCTCATCGAATGTCATCGGACGATTACCAGGGCCAGACTGCTCCACTTCCATCTTCTCAGTTACCACAAAGACAGAAAAGGAATTGTGTACTTGTAAGAAAGGTTAGATTTTTTTGGGGGGATTAGGTATTTGGTGGGATAGCTAAGCCAACTTAGAAAGAGGGAAAGTAAAGTAGAGAAGGAAAAGTGACATGGAAGGGATTCAGGAGGTAGAAGAGGAGGAGGAGGAAAGAGTACTCGTAAATTTTTAATGGAGTTAAAAAGAAGGGAAAATGACGTGCGTGGTTTTGGGAATTGGAGGGGTCCTGTTGTATTTATAGTCGGTGTCAGTGCGATAAGTGCGGTGGTTGACGGAATTGGTTGTTTTACTAGTAGAAAGAAAATTCTGAGAAGGAATTTTTTAACTTTTGGTGTATGAGGATATATTAATTAAAAATATATTTATTGTATTTTTTTTATTTTTATAAAATAAAATAAAATTAAAATAATAAGTATTAATTTATATGATAAAAAATTAAATAAAAATTTTTATAATTATATTATTTTAATAAAATTAAAATATTTTAATTTTAAAACATAAATGATGCTATTTAAATTATTTTTTTGTTATATTTTATTGAAATGATTAAGTTTTAAAATAATTTTTTACTTAATTTTTTACCGTACACGTTGATATTATCTAATTCCAAAATTAATGTTAATTTTAACAATTATATGATAAAACTCATTTAAATAATAATATATTAAAATTAACTAAAATTAATGTTAATTTTTTTTATAAATTAATAAAAAAATAAAATTAATGCTTTTTTTTTTATAATAAAGTTTTTGAAGAGTGAGAAATCGAACTCCAGCACTCAAGTCGATGGATACACTTTACAAGTCGATCTATATTTATTGGATCGTAAGGTTCAAGTGTAAAATTAATTAATTAATTAATGCATCCTTTGACTCTATTTAAAACTACAAATGTGATAACACACCAATAAATATAAGATCTCAGTTATATAAACGTGGGAGAAATAATATAAGCTAATGTTGATAAGTTTCAGTTGAGTTCTAATATATTAAAGTAGTAAATGTTAGTTTATGTTGATAATACTCGTGTTGATTTAACTTTAATATTAATAATAATGTCAACTAAATGATTTCAATTATACCATTAATAAAATTAAAATTTATTTTTTTATAATAATTAATTATAATAAAAAATATAAATCAGACTTTGGGTTTAATAATTAGTTTCAAACCTTAATACTTAAATTTAATTGATTAAAAGTTTAATCCCCACTAATGAATTGAAAAAAAATCTTTTATTCTCTAAAATTCCCGCAATGTTAAAAAAAGTATAATAAAAAGTACAAAAAAATATATTTTTTGAGAAATAATTATGAAATAACTTTTTTTAACACCTTTTAATATAATTTCACGTGTCAATTAAATAATTTATTTTTTTATTTATATGTGATTTATTATATTAAATATATTTACTCATTTAATGACATATAAAAATT